CCCTGTTGGGCAGTTCTTCTCTGCCGTATAGAGTGTAGTGGTTTCTACTCTCCTTTATTAGTTTCCTCCGCCCCCTCCCGTCGGACCCTGTGGTGTGGATGCCTTAAAAAAAATCAACTTTATTGTTCCTCAGCCCCACCTCCCGGCGCGGCGCGCGTCCTCAGGATGCACTGAGACTGAGGGAGGGGAGGCGGCGGCGGCGGGTCGTGGTCTGGGTCCCTCTCCTCCGAGCGCCCTGCCGGAGGGGAGGGAGTCACGATGTCAGGTAGCCGCCCGGCCGGATCGGGCTCCGCTGGGACGAGCCCTGGCTCCTCCGCGGCCTCCTCGGTGACTTCCGCCTCCTCGTCCTTGTCGTCTTCCCCGTCGCCCCCTTCCGTGGCGGCTTCGGCGGCGGCGCTGGTGTCCGGCGGAGCGGCCCAGGCCGCAGGCTCGGGCGGCCTCGGGGGCCCGGTGCGGCCTGTGTTGGTGGCGGCCGCAGCGTCGGGCAGCAGCGGCGGGGCGGTGTCGGTTGGCCTGTCCCGGCTCAGCTGCGCGGCCAGGCCCAGCCCTGGCATAGGTGGGAGCAGCTCTAGCCTCGGCAGCGGCAGCAGGAAACGACCTCTGCCCACCCCGCTCTGCAACGGGCTTATCAACTCCTATGAAGACAAAAGCAACGACTTCGTATGGTAGGTTTGAATAACATCCCCCCATCCCCTACCACGGCTATATTACGAGTTCTTGCTGGTAAGGCTGGTGGGGTCCAGTGTGAGGGTGGCCTGTTTGTAGAGCTTGGATACTGGTTCTGTTGTGGAGTCTGCAGAGGGATTAGAGCATTTCTGAGATTCGAACTAGTAGTTGGTGGTGGGGGTAGGGAGGATGGTAAGGAGGGAGTGGAGAAGTGGGGAGATGTTGAAGTCCAAAGGCAGGTTGGGGGTAGTGAAGAGGTGAGCGATGGTTGGGAGGAAGTGAAAGTTTAAGGAATAGTAAGTAGGGTGAGGGGATGGAGGGTCAAGTAAATAGTTGTGGATAAAGAAGAAAGTTGGACAAGAAGGTTGAGCCTTGCATTTTCTGGTTGTCTGGTGTTTTAGGCACCCAAAAATCAATCCGATTACTTGTTGAGGTGAGTTACATTTGTAAAGGAAGAGGATGGAGCTTCTTGGGATGCTGAGGGATGGAGTTGTTGGGCAGAATTTGCTTATTGGAAGTATGGTGGATGGTGCTCTAAACATGGATAAGGATGTTTTAAGGGGAAGTAGTATTTAAGTATCAGCCATGTGTGTACATGTGTGTATTAATATATCTCGTCTCACATTTCAAAGTATAGGCCACTTTTATATCTGTTGTGGTCTAAGTCTATACACAAAATATTCTGTTTTTCAGTTGAATATCTTGAAAGAGGGAACCACATTTATTAAACATCATCAGTGTGTTGGTTACAACTGTATTACACTTGTATAACACATTAGAGTTTACCGGAGCTTCTGGTTTGAGAAATGATAGGTATTAGAGATTTTGCCATCATAGTTGTCATCTTGAATGATACACAGTACTTACTCAGTCATGAGATTTGGCATAGAGGGGTTAGCCATATTAAGTGAAAGATGAAGTTGACTTGCTGAGTGTGTTGGGATTTTCATTGGGTTTTGGATATTATTGGTTGGATTATGAGAAAGGAATTAGCTGAGTGAGAACTGGTAGGGTTTTGTGCTTTTCTTCTGAAGGAAATTGATAGATTTAAGATACTAGTGACGTAGAAAGTTGGCTTGCACTATCATTGTTGGGGAAGTTGATTCACTTCAGGGCTGAGGATGATCTGTGTTGGTGTCATTAAGTATGATAGGGCAAGAAGTTGGAACTGCTAGGGAAGCTATTGATTAGATGTATAGTTTATGACTCCTGCAGAAAAATACTGCTGTCTTTATTCATATTTGTGCTTTTGATTTAAATTATTTTGGATTCAGAATTAATTCATTTTTTATTGAAACTTTTGGCTATAATTGTGAATGCTAATTATAAATAATTTTAACAGTTTATGACTGGATCTAAGAGGTGTTTGCATTCATACCCAGTAGAGAGGAACCCCGTTGGCATAGTGGTTAAGAGCTCAGCTGCTAGCCAAAATATCTGCAGTTCAGATCTACCAGCCGCTCCTTGGAAACCCTGTGGGGCAGTTCTTCTCTGTCCTATAGGGTCACTATGAGTCAGAATCAACTTGATAACAGTGGGTTTGGTTTGGTTTTTTATATGGATGCTAACATGTTTGTTTTCTTTTTAGTCTACTGAGAACTGAAATGGTAGCTAAAAAGACTAAATTGTGCAAAGCTTCACTTTGTTTTATTAGCTTCTACCTTATCATGTAGCACTCTCTTAAAAAAAAAAAGAAAAGAACCCCTTGGAGTGGCTGGTGGATTTGAACTGTGGATCTTTTGGATAGCAGCAACCACCAGAGTTTCCAGCATCCATATAGGTACACTAAAATAGGGTAAAAGATGTGAGGAATAAGGGAATTATTCATTCATTCAACAAATATTTATTTAGTACTCACTGTCTTGCCAGGCAGCATGTGAGTTTCAGCGTGCTATAGGCTGTTTTATAAGGAATTGGAGAGGGTAGGGAGCACTGGTGGTGCAGTGGTTAAGCTCTTGGCTGCTAACCAAAAGGTCAGTGGTTTGACCCCCCCAGCCGCTCTGCGGGAGAAAGATGTGGCAGTCTGCTCCTGTAAAGATTTATAGCCTTGGAAACCCTGTTGGGCAGTTCTTCTCTGCCGTATAGAGTTCCCTTGAGTCGGAGTCAACTTGATGGCAGTGGGTTTGATTTGGGTTTGGAGAGGTAGAAAGAGTATAAGCAGCTGGCACTGATTTTTTTTTTTTGAAACAAGAGTATTAAAATTTTTATTAACCCATCACCTAATTTAAAAATTCAGTATAGTCTCTTGAGTCCTAATCATGCTGCTTAGATTATTCTGTTTTCTTTTATACTCTAGTGTAGAAGTGTCCATTGAGAGTTTTCAGTTAAAATTTTTGAATATTTCACTTTTTGTCTAAGGATCTCATTAGTCCATTGTATCTTTTTCCGGTGAAGCTGGATAGTCAAAAGAATTAATGGAGTCTGTTTTCTGCTTCTCCATCTAGGTTTGATTTTTCTGAGGCTCTTAGGGTAGACAGATATGAATTAGGTAAGGCCCAAGGAATCCTTTTCATTTGTAATTGGCTCTGGGTGGTCTTCTCTAGTATGCCTCAGAGAGAATCAAACTGTGAACCAATTCAAATTACTTTATGCTTTTATATCTAAATTAGGCCCAGGTTTGACTAATGATGATAATTCCTTACATATCTATAGCACATGAGAAAGATACTTTTTTCATCTTATCTTAGAGCAATTCTCGGAAGTTATATAGAACTTTTTATTTTAATATAATATTAATATAATTATATCCCAAACAGGCACAGAGAAGTAACTTTGTTTCAGATTGTTATTGTTGTTAGCCACCTTGAAGTTAGCTGCCCTCTATTAAGCCCAGGCTGTCCACTCATGGCAATTCCCTGCACAATGGAATTAAACACTGCATCGTCCCCATGATTGGTTATAGATCAGACTTTTGTGATCCATAAGGTTTTCACTGGCTGATTTTTGAAAGTAGATCCCTAGACCTTTCTTCCTAGTCTGTGTTAGTCTGGAAACTTCGCTGAAACCTGTTCAGCATCATAACAACACACACGTCTCCTCTTATATACAGGTAATCGCTGCACGTGAGGTGAATTGCTTGGGAATCGAACCAGGGTTTCCTACATGGAAGGCAAATGAGAGCACAGATATCTTCTAATTATCAATTTAGTGCTTTTTTAAATGGAATTAGAGAAGTTCAGATTTATAAATTTGAGTACTTTTTGAGCACAAACCAACCAAACCCCTTATCATCAAGTTAATTCCAACTCATAGTAACCCTATACGAAGCAGTAGAACTGCCCCATAGGGTTTCCAAGGCTGTACTCTTTATAGAAGCAGACTGCCACAGCTTTCTCCTGTGCAGCAGCTGATGGGCTTGAACCGCTGACCTTTCGGTTAGCAGCCGAGCACTTAACCAATGTGCTACCAGGGCTCCTTAAATGGAGTAGATTGGAGGGAAGCAGCTGCTGCTTAACACTGAAATAAATGTTTTTACTCCTGACTACTTCCTCCTCCTGCCTGCCCACCCCACATCCCAAGAGGACGTATCATAACTGGACGCTGGCGCAGGGCAATATAGTTTGCAAAAGCTCCCCTGGTAGTAGTGACATGTCCACCTCCCCTCCTTAAGAATGACTGATTTAAAGTCAAATGCATAGTTTTCAGTAATATGTATTAGCCTCTCTTGACTAATATCCTATTTGAAGGGAAGTTTGTATTTAATTGCAGAATTGATTAAAATTTTAGGAATTTATAGTTTACTCTTCAATATTTCTTCCATACAGAGGATTGAAAGTATTATCAAGTTTGAAATGATTTTAATAGTGTTATATAGATGGAGAACCTGTGTGACAGAAAAGAGTAGTATTTAGCTTGAAGTTGGATAATTCTTTGACATTTGTAAAAAGTCTTTACTTTGATTTTCCATGTTTTTCTTACATGGTCCGTTTAAACAGTGCATCTTGCTAGTATATGGAAGATGACTTCTTTTATTCTGACTCCTTTCTTTTATTCTATCACATAACTACTGCCTCTGCATTCACTTTCCCAGCTACTTGAAATGACCTTTTCTACTACTGGAGGTCCCAGTTATTCTCCAAGTTGCAGCCAAATATGTATTTTCGACTAGATAGTGAGATCCTTGTGGGAAGGTTAGAGTCTTAATATCTGCTTGATAGAAAGCAGGTAAAATACATTCAGTAAATATGGAACAGCCTATCATGTGGCAAATTAAGATAGACTCTACCCTGAAGGAGCTCATGATATAATGTGAAAAAAGACTTTAACCACATAATTGTAATATAATAATTTGACATGATTGTTACCATTCTCTTAGTATTATGGCAGATTTCAAATATTTTTCTGATTTAAGATGTTGTCCCACAGTCTTCGACATAGTACTCTAGTTAGCCATTATCTGTTTATTAATCTGTTAAGCACTGAAGATAAAACCCGTTGACCATTCTTGCCATTATAACTGTTTTCCACACTATTAGGAGAAATAGAAGATATCATAGAACCTGTCATAATAAGGATTTTTAAATTTTGTTTGTGTATATATGTATGTATATATATAAAACCTGTTGCCATTGAGTTGGTTCCAACTCATAATGACCCTATAGGACAGAGTAGAACTGACTCAGAGTTTCCAAGGCTGCGATCTTTATGGAAGCAGCCTGCGGAGTGGCTGGTGGGTTCAAACCGTCGACCCTTAAGGTTAACAGCTGAGTGCTTAACTACTGCACCGCAAGGTCTCCTATATGTATATATATGTGTGTGTGTGTGTTTATGTATATAGATATAAATGCACCTCTACCTGTTGCCGTCAAGTCGATTCCGACTCATAGCAACCCTGTAGGACAGAGTAGAACTGCCACATAGGGTTTTGAAGGGGCAGCTGGTGGATTCGAACTGCTGAACTTTTGGTTAGTAGCCAAGCTGTTAACCACTGTGGCACAAGGGGTCCATATATACGTATGTGTGTGTGTGTGTGTGTGTGTGTGTATTTATATAAGCAATG